CCCCCCCACGCACTTTGCCACAGACTATTGGGAAGCTCGGGCAATAATAATAGTACTAGCTAACATTTATTTAGCACTTACTCTGTGTCAGGCATTAACATGTAATCCTCACAATAACCTTATCAGATTGATACTATTATCTATGTGTTATAGGTGAGAAACTGAGAAGTTAAGTAACTTACCCAAGGTCACACAGCTGGTAGGTAGTGGAGGCAGCACTTGAACCCAGGATGCCTGATTCCATAGCCAGGTACTGCTTAGGCACTGGCACAAAGAAAGCATCGTCTTCGGGATTCTCCTTAGTTCTCTTGTCCTTTTTCTCTTTTACCTCTGTGGTTGGTTGGCTGGTTATTTGGTTTTCATGCCCCTTGCACATGAACGCTTCAGAGGAGGCATGGCCCTTATATCAGGGGTCTCTGCAGAGCTTTCTGCAGGCTCAGAGGCATGCAGGTTGATTGCTCCTGGAAGGCCCCCAGGAGCTGGTATGGAACCCAGGGAACCCACACCCAAAGAATTTTGATGCTCTGTTTTTTAATTTATTTTATTTTTTAAATTTTAATCCCCACTCGAGGATGTGTTTTTATTGATTTTTAGATAGAGAGGAAGGGGTGGGGGGAAGAAAGAGACAGGCAAAAGAGAAAGAAATCAATGGGAGAGAGAAACATTAATCGGTTGCCTCCCGTACATGCCCTGACGGTAGTCAAACCTGTACTCTTTTGGTGTACAGGACAACACTCCAACCAAACACCTACCCAGGTAGAGCTCATGCTCTGTTTTATTTTGTTTTTTTCATTTTACTTTTCCTTATGGACAAATTTTCAAATACAAAAGTAAGAAACTACAGTAACGAACCATCACATAGCCATCACTCAGCTTCCATAATTCTTAACTCATAACCAATCTTGTTTTCTATAATCTCTTCCATTCCCCTCACCTGATTATTTTCAGTCAAATCCTAGATGTTATTTCATCCATAAATATTTCAATGTGTATATAAAATATAAGGGTCCTTTTAAAAAAGTAACAAAAACACCAATTTTACATCTGTACTCAACAATAAATCCATCAGCATTCAAATTTTCAAAAAGTTGTCTCATAAATGCTACTGTTTTGCCATTCGTTTGAATCAGGATCCAAACAAAACCCACACATTTCATTTAGTTATGTCTCTTAAATCTCTTGAAATCTATTGGGTCCCCTCCTTTTTCTTTGCAATTTATTTGTTGAAGAAACTGAATCATCCTGTAGAGTTTAAACTCCATGTGCTGGATTTCTGACTATATCCCCGTAGTCCCATTTATCATGCTTCTCTATAACTCATTTTTTTCCCTTAAATGGGTTAGATCTAGAGGCTTCAGTGAACTCCAGCATATCCTTGTTTGAAAGGAGCTCATTTTTGTGCTGGTTTGGTTGTCCTAGAAGGCTGGTTTCATGTGTGGGTAGGGGGCAGAGTTGGAAATGAGCCCCCATCCTGTACCAGGGATCACCTAGGTGACATTTTCCTTTGATTTTGTTTTTAAGGAAACACTCTTAATTAAGTATGGCGTACAAATGCCCACATCATAAGTATACAGCTCAATGAATCTTCACAACGTGAACCCACCCATGTGACTTCTACCCAGATCAGGAGGTAGAACATCATTGGTGTCCCCAAAGTGCCTTGTGACCCCACTTAGTCATTACTCCCCAGAGGCGACCACTATCTTTATTCCCATCACCAAAGATTCATTTTCCTTGTAACTGAAGATTCTACAAATGGGATTGAATATTATTTCCTCTTTTTTGTTTTTAACTATTACACATTGATTACGTTTATACTTGCTTACATTTATAACTCTATAGGTAGCTCTACAGTTCACAAACTATGTGGGCACCAGAACTGCTTTACATTAGCAGTATAGATTTACAGAACATACTTATGAAATACTCCTGCAGAGGAAAACTGCAATACAGATGGAGTAAAATTTATATTGAAGAATTGTACTCATGATAGAAATGAAGGCAGAATTGCTCCTCTTAATTTTTCGGTTCCTTCTGTAGGAAAGCCATAAGTAGTATCCATTCTTTTCTTTAAAATTTTTATTCTTTTAAATATATCTTTATTGATTTCAGAGAGAGAAAGGGAGAGGGAGAGAGAGATAGAAACGTCAATGATGAGAGAGTCATTGATCGGCTGCCTCCTGCACGCCCCCACTGGGGATCGAGCCCACAACCTGGGCATGTGCCCTGACCGGGAATCAAACCGCGATCTCCTGGATCCTAAGTCGATACTCAACTACTGAGCCATGCCCGGCTCCATTCTTTTGCATCTAGCTGCTTTTCTTATGAGAACCATCTGTGTTGTTGCCTGTAGCATAGTTCATTCATTTTCATTGCCAAATGGTATTCCTGTGGAATAGTATGACCATTCCACAGTTTATCCATTCTATAGTTGATGGGCATTTGAGGTGCTTCTGGTTTGGGGTTATGCACAGCAATGCCATAGACGTTTGTGTACATGTCATTTGGTAAACATATGTGTACATTCTGGTTGGGCATTTACCTAGGAGTAGAGTGGCTGGGTCATTGGACATATGCATACATCAAGCTTTTATAGATACTGCAAAATAGTGTACAATGTGGTTGTAGCTGTTGATACTCCCACCAGTGGGGTATGGGGTTCTAGTTTCAGCCTTGGTAACCTTGAACAAGTAGGCCAAAGGTGTGTGTTTTTTAATAACTTATCTCTAACAACCTTTGAATTCTAAAAGTTCCTTTAATCCAATGTCCACTATAAAATGGCAGCAAGGTAGGGCAAAGAAGATGAAGGATTCAGAATTAGCCAGACCCAGATTTTAGTTCAGTCACTTACCTTCTGTGTGACCCTGGGAAAACCATGTTCTTTCTCTGAGCCTTAGTTTCCTCATCTGTAATATAAGGTTACACCCATCTTGCTTTCAGAGTTGTCATAAGACTAAATGAGCACTGTGACTGATATGTCTCCAGGGAGTCCAGAGTAGAAGCCATTTCATTATTTAACCTGTGTCCCTAACCTGTTACGCTTCACAGAGAGAGCCAGCTGTTTCCCATTACTCGAGAGCTTGAAGCCACAGGAAGTTAAGGGGGGACAATGATTTCATGTTTTGCTTAATATTTCGGGGGGGGTGTCAGAAAATCCTGTCTTTTCAAGGGCCTCTGTTTCCTTTTGAGCACTTTGTGCCTAAAGGGACGGCTTTTTCCATGTTTGTGATACTGAATTGAGTCACATGTGTCAGTCTGGCTTGGGGGGTGCTGTGTTTCTCTTCCCTCCAAGTAGCCATGGCTGTGCAGCACTGAGCTTCAAGCAGGTATCTGGGTGCATGACGTCAATCCTTGCTGTCCAGTGCGGTGCTTCAGGACCACCTGCCTCTGTGTCTTTCAGAATCCTCCCTGGAAAAGGAAAGGGAGACACCCAGTCCCATCGACCCCAACTGTGTGGAGGTGGATGTGAACTTCAATCCCGACCCTGCTGACCTGGTCCTCTCCAGTGTGCCAGGCGGGGAGCTCTTCAACCCTCGGAAGCACAAGTTTGCAGAGGAGGACCTGAAACCCCAGCCTATGATCAAAAAGGCCAAGAAGGTCTTTGTGCCTGATGAGCAGAAGGTAATCTAGTGTCTGAATAAGGGAAGGTGCAGCATTGGTTCAGGAGCCGAGGGGCTGTGCTTCCTCATGTTGGATTTTATCTGGAGGATCCTCCCTCCTATGGACACCATTTAGAAAGGCATGAGTTCAGAGCATAGAGCCATATCCTGTAGCAGGTGGTAGAAAGACGGAGTCAGGTGGCGTTTGGCCCCAGTGTGACTCCCTGTAGCTTCTCTGTTTCCTTACTGGCCAGTGGCTGTGTTGATGTTCTTGCTTCCCTGGCTTTAGCCCAGCCTTTGGGCAGCAGCTCACTAGGCCACAGGATCTGGGCTGAACAAGCCCTCGCTTTGAAGGACAAAAGACAGTTGTGTGTTACCATCCCCAGGGACCAGCAGACAGCTTTCAGAGCGATGGTTCTGTAGGAGTTGGGATGGGGAGGGAGAGGAGGAGTTTGCCGGTTTCCATCCTCCCACAGAAAACTCACAGGAAGGGCTTTCACCAAGCTTTGAAGTTAGGCAGAGCTGGGTCCAGATCCCACTTTGCCACCTAGAACTAGCTGGGCCTTGGGTTCCTCATTTGTAAAATGGGAATAACTACCTGCTTCTCAGGATGTTTCTGAGTCTGTCATTGTAATGGCATGAAAATGGTAAACCTTTATGTGGTGCTTCCTGTATGTGATAAGCACCTAGCACACACTAACTCCTTCAATCCTCATACAGCTCTATATGGTAGTTATTATTACCCCCCTTGTAAAGGTGAGGAACCTGAGACACTGAGAGGTTGGGAACTCGCATGGTTCCGCTAGTAAGGGACAGAGCCAAGATTTGAACTCGGATGACCTTAGCTATAACCAGAATGACTGTGGGCGGCAAGGTGTAGACAGTGCTTTATGTTGGAGCAGCGCAGGCTCCCAGTAAGTGGAGTCCCCTTCCTTCCACTGCTTCCTACTAAAGGGCTTTGTTTCTCATCCTGGGGAAAGGGCAGGGCCCCTTGCTGTCCTTGGCACATGCGTCTCCTTCCCTGGGTCCCAGCTTTCGTTCTGGCTGCGCCAGAGGAGTGATAAGAGGAATCTGTGTGGAGTGCTGGCAGGAGCAGAAAGGGTGGGTACCCTCGTGGGGAAGGAGGAGAGACCAACAGAGGACACTTCCCCACAGGATGAGAAGTACTGGACAAGGCGCAAGAAGAACAACGTGGCGGCCAAGCGCTCCCGGGACGCCCGGCGCCTGAAGGAGAACCAGATCACCATCCGGGCGGCCTTCCTGGAGAAGGAGAACACAGCCCTGCGGACGGAGGTGGCTGAGCTACGCAAGGAGGTGGGCAAGTGCAAGACCATCGTGTCCAAGTACGAGACCAAGTACGGGCCCTTGTAACGCCCCCGCCCGGGCCGCGCTGCCTACACCTCAGCCTCTGCCTGGGGCTCCCTGAGACCCCACACGCGTGTGGGGACTTATGACTCGTCACGGGCGAATGGCAGTGCACCTGCTCCAGGAGCAGTCATGTTCCAGCTTCGTCATCACATGGCTAGCGCACGTGGCCACTTCCCTAGGGGGCCAGCTTCACCGGCGGGGCCGCAAGGGAAGCGACGTAGCGGGTGCATCAGCCTTAGTTTCTATTCTTGGATGTCCCGGCTGAATCAGAAGGGGACCTCTGGTGGAGCACCGATCTCCTTTCCCAGGGCACTCAGGCTGCCCTGACTCTCCCGCAGTCTCCACCCTGGGCCGTGGAGGACTGTCTCCGCAGAATGAGTCCGTCGTCGTCACGTCTTCTCAGGTAGCAGGGTGTGTTTCCAGGTGGACTGTGTCTGTGGCCCACCTCCCCCTCCCCCAAAAGTCTGAGAGAAACATCCGTTTCCGTCTCCCTCAGATGTTGAAAGACATGCCAGCTCCTCTGTAATGTCTGCCATGGGTACCAGGCCACCAGAGCGGGGTCTCTGCACAACCCGAGATGGGATTTGGGTCCGGGGCCTGTAGCAGAAGTACACCCAACTGTTCTTAGTTCCCATACCCCTTTACTCTTGTAGCTCTGAGGCCTGGAAGCCAGGAAGGGGCACTGGCAGTCGGCTGTCTGCATTTTGTCTGCTGTGAAGGAGAGACTCCGGTTGGCTGGTCTCTGAGCCCTGATCACAGTGCAGAGGGCGGCCTTTGCATCTCCTCTTCTCCAGGTCACTTGTGGATGCCACCTGGATCTTGTTTGTCCCACTAGACTGGGCCTCTAGGCCTGTTTCTTTTCACCCAGTGACCAATCTTAAATCTTGGATTTAAAAGGAAAACCCCCTTCGTCTAGGAAGCTTAACTTTCTGGACGCAGGATGCACCTTCCACATGGTGTTCAGAAAACCAGCCTCCATAGCCCCTTGGGCTGCAGGCAGGGAGCCGGGCCATGTGTCTCCATTTCATCTTGCTCTGCCCTCCGGAGTGGGCCAGGCCAGAGGGAAGCAGAAGATGGCTTCCCGGTCCTTGTTTCAGGATCCCTCCCCTGTGCAAGCTGCCTGGAGGGCACCTGCCGGGCAGGACACCTGGCCATGGATCACCAGGGTCGCAGCACAACTCCTGGAGTAGCAGGTTCTTGGGATATTTACACATTAGGGTCCCTTCAATCTGGGTCCCTAGAGATGTGGGCCACCCACACAGGCCTGGCCGTGGTATGTGGAGGGGTCCTTGCAGCTGTGGCTTCACTACCTCACAGCTGCTTTGTCTTGTGTCTGGCTGGACTGGTCCTTTAGCTCCTCCCGGGAGGTTGATCGAGGAGTCTGTGGAACGCTCTGCCCATTGTGGTCAGCCGGGGCACCTGCACGTAGGTGTATTTATTGGCTCAGGGCCAGGCAGCCTGTGGTTAAGGGGTCAGAAGTAACGGGCGCACTTTGTCATGCTTACCACTGGCTTTATTTAAAGTGGTAGCTCCAAGACCCGGGCTCTGACCACAAAAGACTTTTTATAACATGTTAAGACCCGGGGAAGCCATCCACTGGCTGTGGAGCGCACCCCAGGGGAACGCCGTGGCCCTCCGGGGCCTGCACACCGCCTCTCCTGGGGACTTGACAAGGGTGCCTGAGGCCAAGGGAGGTCACTGCCTCCTTCCAGGCCCCTGACTTTTACTTTGTGGTTCTATAAAAACCATGTTCACACTTTTCACTCTATTGTAACCACAACAGGGCAGTTGCATCCGGCATGTCAGTGTCCTGCCCTGGGCAGCTTGCCCGCCCGGGCACTCTCCCTCTGGTCTGGCTACCCACCAAGAGGGCAGTTCTCGTTTTGTTATTGGTAGAAGAGCCTCCAGCTTAAAAGCTCTTCATTTTCTTTGGCCAGAAAGTATATGGTTTTTGTTTTTTCCGTTTTTTAAAAGAATGGAGACTTAATCTCTGGATGGCGTCCATGTTCTAACCCTTGTGGGTGGGATAATGGCCTGACATCTCTCCTCTTTGTCCCACCTCCTGCCTGTTCAGTGGCCCCCCCTTCTTCCCTTCAGGCAGTGGGCCTCCAGTTGCTTCCCAAAGTGCTTACTTGGAAAGAATGTGGCTGCTGGCCTCTTCTAGAAGAGCCCCTTTGAGTTGGGAGCCTAGCAGGGACAGGGAGGAGATATCTGTGGAGGTTGACATTTTGGGGAAAAGCAGTGCTCAGGGAAGTGTGTCTCCTTCCCAGGCCCAAGAGTCAAGTTCTTGCAGGAGAGGGTTGGTGCCTGCTAATTTCCATAATGGAATTGGGAGTCTCCTTGACTCTCTCCTGGCCCCTCTCTACCTTGGGACTGACAGCCAAAGACTGAGGCTCCTGTGCTCAAATCTTTGACATCCGAAAAGCACTGGAGGCCGGAGAAGCCAAAGTCAGTGGCTTTCCAAGGGTTTGTGATAGACTGGGAAGCACTATCCCTTCCTAAGCACCCTGTCTTCAGTTTCCCAGCAGCCTTGTTGTAACCTCAGAACAGACAAATCATGAATGAGCTAGAATGTTGCAAGAATATACATATAATAAATGTATATCTAGGTATAGAAATATATATATTTAGAGAGAGCTTTCACGATGGCCAGCAGCTTTGTGGAAGACCTGGGTAACTCTTAACCCTTGGCCAAAGGAAGGGGTTTGCCTGTCTGGATCCTGAGGTTGGAGAATGCACTGAGCGGTGAACCTTGACTGGGTAAGCATCACCCTGCTGAGGGGCTGCTGTGGCCTGGGACGGGCAGCTCCTGTAGTCCTCCAGCCTGAGGCGGGGTGTCAGGCATGGGAGCCAGCACGGGGGGCCCCTTTGTGTTGGGCAGCTCACCACCCAGGGTCTTGGGAGCTCTGCTTCACAAAACACAAAGGGCCGAGAGCCCCTGGTTTTCATGGCAAAGCCCCACCCCAGAGCTCCTTTAACATCTGTTAATTAAGTGCAATAAATTTTTCTAGAAAATGGCAAAGATGACTTCCAGGTGGATATTGCTGTCTTACGGTGTTGGGGATGCCAGACCACCACTTGGTTTTATTTTTCTAAGTGCATGTGATGTGAGAGTGTGTGGGGTCCGCGTCCTTCCCTGGGAGCCGGCATTCCAGTGAGCCCCTTTTTCTTACTTTTGTTGGGGGAAGGAGGCAGGAAGAAAATTCCTTCTTCCCAGCTGGTGAGGGCAGAAGCAGCCCGCAGCCTGTTGGCCTTACGTGTGTGAGTGTGTGTGTGTGTGTGTGCGCACGTGCACGCGTGCGAGTGTGTCACCGCTGGTGGGCAGGAGTGATGTGGCGGGGAGGGAAGCTGGGAATGTAACCTTTTAAAACAAAATTAAATATTTTGAGACGAGAATTGTGGGGCTGTCTTTTCTGTCCTCCCTCCGCGTGTCCTCCGGGCAAGCTGGCCTAGGACCCTGAGGGATATCCCTGACACCGTGTATCACTAGCCAGGCACCCCTGGCCAGGTCACCTAACCACTCTGTGCCTGTGTCCTCATCTGTCAGATGGTAGTAATTCCTGCCTGCTTACGTCACAGTTTACGGAGGAAAGACCCTATCAAACCAAAAGCAGTTTGAACAAGTAAAGTGCTGTACAGCTGGTGGAAAGACAGGGACCTGCTCATGACAAGTGTTCTCAAACAGGGAACACTTGATGGCAACTACGAAAAAACAAACAAAAAAATTAGAAGAGTTGGCTCTCGGTGGTGGGATTCTGGGGGTTTTCCTTTTCTCCTTTTGCCAGATTTCTGTCCGTGGCCATGAAACCTTCACAACTAAAAAACAAGTTTGTATGCCAGTGCAGCTACTGGCAGTCAGCATTGGCATCCCCAGGTCCCCCTGCAAGGTGTTAGTGCTCAGGCTCCCTGTTGCTTTAGGGGCCAGGAACCATTTGTAATTTTTTTAAGGTGTTTTTTTTTTTAATATATCTTTATTGATTTCAGAGAGGAAAGGAGAGGGGGAGAGAGAGAAACATCAGTGATGAGAATCATTGATCGGCTGCCTCCTGCATGCCCCCAACTGGGGATCGAGCCTGCAACCTGGGCATGTGCCCTGACCGGGAATCGAACCCTGATCTCTTGGATCCTAGGCCAGTGCTCAACCACTGAGCCACGCCTGCCTGGGCTGTAATTTTATTTCTAAGGAGAAAGGCATATATTTAGAGTTTGGAGACCAGCTGGCAAGGTGGCTTTTTATTTTTATTATTTTTTTAATCCTCAGCCAAGGATATGTTTTTTATTGATTTTAGAGAGAGGAAGGGAGAGAGAGAAACATCACTATTGGCAACTTCCCACACTCGCCTTGACCAGGGATCGAACCCACAACCTGGATATGTGCCCTGACCAGGAATTGAACCCACGACCTTTTGGTGTATGGGGTGATGCTCCAACCAGCTGAGCCACCTGGCCTGGGGAGGGTGGACTTTTTTTTCTTCTTCCAAATATATTTTATTGATTGAAGAGGGAGTGAGGGAGAGGGGGAGAGAGATAGAAACATCAATGATGAGTCATTGATCAGCTGCCTCCTGCACCCCCCCACTGGGGATCGAGTATGTGCTCTGACTGGGAATCGAACTGGGATCTCCTGGATCCTAGGTCTATACTCAACTACTGAGCCACTCTGGCTGGGCCAGGGTGGACTTTTTTAAATAGGCATTTTACAAAAAAACATTGAGGCTCAGAAAAGCAAAGTGATATGCCCCAAATCACAGCATCAGAGCTAAAATTCACACCCAGAGTGGGTTTCAAATTTTCAAATTGCAATTCCCAAAACAGTAACAGCAGACAGACTGTTCCCAGCCTGGGATCAGGGCAGTGTCTCATATTCCACCTCCTTACAGCTTACACAGCCTCCAGCTCAGCCTCCCCGCTCCTAGCTCCGGATCTTGAGCACCTATTGCCATTGCGGCAGTGATGTAGAAGGTCCCGGCCTACACGGAGATGAGCACTCCTGTGGGTCCACCGGATGGGGTGGGATGCAGCCGGGGTCAGACCAACTCTGTGGCTGGCCTTGGGCAAGTTTCTCCGCCTCCCTGAGCTAGTTCTCCCTACGATGTGGACACGCTGCTCAGGTAATGTGTCAGTTCTGCTCTCCTTCCCACCTCCCAGCCCCGTGGAGGACAAGTTTTCCACAGCTAAACACAGGCCCCTTGAGTGTTCCCACCTACCAGACAGCCCCCATGCGCCTCCCGTGGCTGTGCCAGGCCAGCCCAGCTGGCAGCTCCTGACGTCAGCAGTTAATCTGGGAAAGCTGCCAGCCTGAGAGAGGGGTGAGCAGCAAAGGAAATCAGAACCAGGTTTCGGGGTGGGTGCCCCCAGCCAGCCCCTCCTGCACTCTCATCAGCTTCTCACTTCAGCGAACCCTCCCGACCACAAAGGCTGACACCTGGACCCAGTGGAGCAGGAGCCTTTCATTGTGAGCAGTTTCTGTCAGCAGGAGCTGGCTGCGCAGTGCGCCATGCTCAGCCTCCTCCACTCTGAGGCTGCCTGTGTCTCCAAGCTGGGTGGGACATCTGCTTGGGCCTGGATTCCAGGTTGACTCCAAGTCCAGACTGGGGGGCAGAAGGCAAGCGGGTCCTTGGTGCTGTCCCCAAGCCTATGCTAGTCTCATGCGGGCTACAGGGAAAGCAGAGGAAGAGGGATTTCTGCCGGTTCCTCAGAGCCTTAGCTGGGTGCACTGTTCCCCACTGCTGTTTTGTTCCAGCCCATAGCACCCAAGGATGGGCATCCCCATTTTACAGAGGAAACTGAGGCTTAGTAAGGTATTAAGTGACTTGCCCAAGATCTCACAGCTGCTAAGTATCAGAGCTGAGATTCTAACCCAGACCTGGTGGCTCCTAAGCCCAAGCTCTTTCTGCTATCTCAGTGACCTCCTGACCAAGGTGCTAGTGCTGCCTGGATCTGTCCACACTGGAAGGACACTCCACCCTCCACCTTCCTTGGGCCAGCAGAGGTCAACCAGCCAAAACAGCTGACTGGTCTGACATTTTCCATGGTCTGGCCAAGCCACCCTGGCCGGCAGTAGCAACAAGGCCCACGCCCTGAAGTTGGTGGTGGGCAGGAGAAGGCTGACATTTGTCCCACATGCTGGGCCAGGAACTTCAGGGTAACTGCATTTGACAAATGTGAAAACAGGTTCAGAGAGGAAGTGTCTTCCCCAAAACCACACTGCTTCTCCACCCCACTCTCCTTCCAACCTCTTCTTTGGTCCCCACCCACCCCTGGACCTCTCTCTCTCTCTCCCTCCCTCATGGTATTTTCTCTCTTCTTGGGTGCCAGGGTCAGAAGCTTTGGACAACAATTACCTTAGAAGTTATCACATACAGGTCCTCCCTGAATGGATGGGAAAGAAACCCAGAGAGGGAAAGGAACTACCCAAGGTCACACAGCAAAATAAGACTTGGGCTAAGGGAGCCTGCATCTCCACACTTCCTGTCTCCCTGGAATCACATTGAAGCTGGGTGGCCCTTCACTCAGGGAGGGCACTGGCTGTTCCTACTACTACTGGACCATGAACTGTTCACAGAAACCTGGGCTCACATGAAAGCAAAAATCAGGCCTCATCCTAGGCCTCATCTTCAACTTGCTGTGTGACTTTCTGCAAGCCACATTCTTCTCTGAGCCCCTTATTTTTCATCAGTGCCATGGAGATCAGGATCCCTCTCCTGCCCACCCATCAGGGTTGCTGTGAAGTTCATATGAGATGCTGAGTCGAAGCCCCTTATAAATTGCAAGGGATGAGACATGAGTCAGTGTCCCAGCCCTGCACATTTGGGACCCAAAATGTGATGAAAGGTGTCTCTCCCCACCCTTCCCGCCATGTCACACACAAATCACCTTCCCCACAGACTTGCCAATGCCTGCAATTCTATTAGAAAAGCTGGCGGGAGGGTAAAGAGTGAGGTAAGGACAGATAGGAGATGGAGCTGAAAGCAGAGCCAGGCCCTTGGGGTTGAAGAACATGGCTGTTCTCCTGGGTCTGAGTCCAGGACTGCTTTGACCCCTGTGTGTGGCGCGGCAGGGCCATGCCCCAATCGCAGAACTCCATCTGAGAAACTGCTGGACTGATCTTAAATCGCCCTGAAATCTAATCCTAGAACCTTGCCAAGGCCCCTAGTGTGAGCCTCAGGGGTGTGACCAGAGCAAGGGGAGGTGCCCAAAGCTGAGGATTCCTGAGCCAGGAGCCAGTGCCCAGCCCACCAATGACTTGCTGGGCTTCTTATTGCTTTGAGCCTCGGCTTCCCCATCTGTCCTCTTCACAGTAGCCCCTCTCTTCTCTCTCTCTCTGTCTCTCTCTCTATATATATATATACACATATATATAAATTGATTTGAGAGAGAGAGAAAGGGAGAGAGAAACATCGATCGGCTGCCTCCTGCATGCCCCCTACTGGGGATCGAGCCCACAACCTGGGTATGTTCCCTGAGCTGGAATCAAACTGGCAACCTCCCTCTCCATGCATATGACGACGCCCACCTAACTGAGCCACACCTGCCAAGGCTCCACAGTAGCCTTTAAACCATATGACATAGACTGTGGCTCCCACCACATCCAGAAAGAAATCCAAACTTCTCACAGCAGCCTAAAAAGCCCCGTGGGACCTGGCCACTGATCTGGTTCACTTCCCCCTCCCTCTCCACTCCAGCACCCAGGTCTAGCCCTTGATTACTTTGCTCCTCTTGGGTCATGCCCAACTTCTTCTCATATCAGAGCCATTAGACTTGTTGTTCCATCTGCCTAGAGTGATGTTCCCCAGATCTTCTTAGCCTAGTCCCATTCTGAGTGCCTGGCCCACCCAGTGCTTGGCATGTAGTAGCTGCTCACTAAATACCTGCTCCACTCACAGGAATAGATGACAGGACCAGGGCCTGGTGTGCCAGGAGCGCCACATCACCACTAGGTGGTGCTGCAGACACATCCCTGGGCAATGACCCAGGATCCAGCCTCCAGATTTTTCCTCTCAGCAAAGCCTCCCAGGGCTGTGCCAGGCGATGCTATGGGCACCAGCTGACTCACCCCCACCATGCCTGTCCCCCAGTGGCTACTGGCCAACATGGGCCCGGGGTATCCACAGAAGCCTGGGAGGAAGAGAGGGCTGGCTGCCGCCCGTCGTCTGAAACTCTAGGCTCTTTGTGGGGAGGGAGTGGATGGCAGGCGACAGGTGGTGTGGTGCGGGAACTGGGCTCAGGAGCCCTGGAGCGCCTCTGACTTGGAGCCTGTGCCCTGAGCCTGGGTCCGCATCCCACCTCCTCAGTCCTCCCCAAGCCTTTGACACGCCTGGTCCTGGCTCTGCGCCTCCATTTGTTTCCTCATCTGTCGACAAGACAAACATGTGAGCGAGAACTGAAACCCCGCA